GTGTGTGTGTGTGTGTGTGTGTGTGTGTGTGTGTGTGTGTGTGTGTGTGTGTGCTGGGGGGCTGGGGGGCCGGGAGGCTGGGGATCAGGGGGAAGGTGTTTCATCCCCCCTACAATGCAATATGTGTGTGTGTGTGTGTGTGTGTGTGTGTGTGTGTGTGTGTGCTGGGGGCCTGGGGGGCCAGGTGGAAGGGGGGAGGTGTTTGAACAATCCTTTGTACGGGTGGCGACTTGAACAGCTCTCCCGTTATAACTGCCTACTTGGCCTCCTCTCTCAGATGGTGTGAGGCGGAAAAAAAAAAAAAAAAAAAAGAAGAAGAAAAAAACAGATAGTCATAGCCCTCCAGCTCCGCCAATTTCTCTGGGTCCTGCTGGGGACAATGGGGGAGACATGACAAGAGGTTACACGAGCCCACCTGGCGTTCACGCTGCAGGTCCCGGAGGATACGGTGGAAGTATGCCTGCTGCGCAGCTCTCTTTGACTATAGGTCACGTTCGCAGAGGTACAGTGTGGTCCACTAAATTGACGTTGTGGAAAAAGGTGCAGCTGAGGAGCCGGTTACCAGCATCTGCTGACGTGGTGTTCAACCAGCTGCTATTCGACAATAGATTTATATGCGACGAAGCAGGTGACCCCTTCCCGTGGCGGGGTCGGCGGGGAGCTTTCCGGTGGAAGTGGGCAGAGCGGGGGGGTATTTAAAGTGGGACACCTATGGGATGAGATTCGTAAAGACGGGTGCACCGACAGCGAGATGATGATAATGGTCGCTGGGAAAGCATGGAAAATGAAAAGGGTGAGAGAGTTGAGAGAGGCTATCCCCTTGCAATGGATAGGCCTGCTTAAGAAGGATGAGGTGGCGCAGGGAGAATGGGTGCGAATTAAAGGGGTCGCCAGGCCAGACGTGGTCTATCGAGTGGAACTGACCCCTCAGGAAGAATGGCTGGAAGTCACTACGTGGCACGTTCAGTCTGGTTGGGGATATGAAGGGATGGGTGAACCAATGAGGATGTCCCCGGCTGCTCAAAGACGAATTTCGAGAGGCAGCGTGGAGACGGTGGCGGTATGTGAAGGAGGGGCCAAGGAACAAGGCCAATTCTGCCCATGTAAGGGCGGAGAGACTTAAGCTGGGACCCGCGGGACTGGGAGTGACCTCCTCAGAGGAGGCATAAGAGAACAACCCGGCTGCAGCAGTTGACGGACAAGAATATCTACAACTCTTACAACTCTCTGCTAGAGCCACGTGACATCTGCGGGGAACGCAAAAGCCGCTGGGCCAAGAGAGATTGGCTACGCAGGTGGACTTATCGTAAGTGCAACGCCCAATGTGCCCTTATGGCGGCGCTGCCGGATCAGAAACAGGCTGGTTTGGTTTGTTATGGCGAATCTATCACTTGGCTACTCCGACAGCACAGTGGTTGGCATCCAGAAGCTGCCACAAGGAGCAACAATGCGCGGAGGGATGTGGCGCGGTGCAGACGATAGCCCACCTGTTCGTGCAATGCCCGGTAATCCGGGCTTTCTGGACATGGTGGGCTCAAATGGCTCAAATGGCTGAGCACACCCCATTGGAAGTAGCAGAAACGGACGAGGCGCTCATCCTCCTGGGAACCCTGATGAAGGGCAATAGACTGCAACCTGAGAATCAGTTGGCAATGGAAACAGTGAGAGCAGCGTTTTTATGGACGATTCGGACCCTGAGAAACAAGCGTTGTAGACAGTGTACGACGCCCACTCTCCAGACATATCAGGGACCATCCAGGCTGATTTCCGTCGCCCACTCTCCAGATATTTGAGTGGCCATCCAGGCTGATTTCCGTCGGTGCGGCCGAGTAGGGCAAGGAAACGATCGCTTTTGGAGGAGATGGAACCACTATCCACAGCTGTTGGTGCCGGATCCCCAGTCGGGCTGTGTCTCATTTGGGCCCCTGTTGGAGCGGCAACCATGTCAGGTGGAGACCGAGGTTTAATATAGAGGTTTGGAAGCTAGTGCGAACGAATGAGGATAGGACAAAACAAGCAGTAGGCTAGGTACATAACAGGGAGAAGAGGATAGGATAGGGATGCAGAAGAGGGGGAAGGATTAGTATGAGAGGGAAAGGCGGAGGGTGGGAAGGGAGACAATTTGAAGAAAAAAAGAAAAAAAGTCGGGGTACCATGCGCAGACAGCAGGAACAAGGGGAGTAGGGGAAGTCAACAAGGGTATAGCCAAGTAAGGGAAGGGCATGTAAGGGGACGCCCCCTGAGGAATGGCGGTAGGTAGTAGTAAGGTAGGCAATAGGAAAGTAATTTGATGCCAATTGGTAGGTAAGGAATACTGAGATGGTACTTTGCAGGGAAGGTAGGGACAAGGACTGACAAACGGGTACCTAGGTAGAATTTGGATATGGACTGGCCGGTGAGGCTGCCAGGAGGTCCTCCCCCGCACCCCACCAGTCACAGGATCCACATGCTGGGTGTCAGGTGGGTGCTGCCAGTAAGCTTCCTGGCCAGCCAGTGTACCCTGTAAATGTGTCATGATTTGGGGGGAGGACGGCCGAAGCACCCCCCCCCCCTTGCGTAAGCGACTAGAGCTGCAAGGGTGGCCGTATCTGACTCTTGTCCGATCTACTCTTTCTTGTCTTTTCAGTTGTATCTCATGTACATTTGGCTTGCCGCCGAAGGTGATGAGCAACCGGACTGATGCCCCCCAGAATAGATGGGGCTTTGTTGCTTAAAAAAAAAAAAGAAAAAGAAAAAAAAAGAACCATCACTTGCAGGTGACAACCTACAGCCCTCCCACTACCGTCGTACGCAAATAGAACATTATAGCTGTATTTGGTGCAACTTTTAGTCCAGATACGGCGATAATTACTGAGCATTCTATTCCGGTGAAGACGGTAGCCGTCATCCCTTAGAAAGTGCAGGATACGTTGATCACAGGTGCTGACCAACTGACTCTCCGGATTTTTTTTTTTAATCTTGATTTTGATTTGATTTTTTGTTTAACAAAGATGACTCTTTTTATTATTTGCCGGAAATCGGGTCGAGTGTCCCTTACAAAAAACGGAACTCGCCCAAGCTTCCCTCTGTTACGGCCGAGGGATACTGAGACAAGGCCATAGATTGCTTCCAAGGTGGGAAGTATTTACCCCTGCGATGTCCCTGGTCCGTTACCTTACTGACCTCTTGTGAATACTGACAAAAGCCTTTTCTATTTAGTGATGTAAAGTCATGTGGATCCGTTAATTCAACCCGGTAAAATCTTTTTTTTTTTTTTTTTTCAAACAAATGCTCCAGTCTATTCGTGGGGAGCAGCACGTGCTGGGAACCGGGCCCAGCGTCCCATATCGAATTGTACAGATCATTGAGAAAATTTGAGATCATTTGAGGATACCGGGGCCATTACCCGGCTTCGGCTGAGATCAGTCTGTGAATATCTAATGACCTATTAAGGAACTACTCATGCAATAGGCTGCCACAGAGGTCCTACGAATGCTCACAACCCTCAGGATCCCTAACAAGCCCTTCTAAGACTTTCCAACACGGTCTTACTCCCTGCTGAGCTCTTCCAGGCCTCACGCCCCCACCGTGCTGGGTTGCAGGGCAACACAACTCGCCCCAGCTCCGACCAGCGTTACATGTGGAAAATCCGAAAATCTCAACCAAGTACCTTGGTCTTATCCCGATGGTATAGATGTTCAACCGTCATGAGAACACCCGGTCATTGTAGCTGTATTTGGTGCGACTTTCAATCCAGATACGGCGATAATTACTGGGCAT